TCAAACTCACAGGGACCTACAGTAGGATCGACAGGCTCGCAATGAACCGTGGCCAGCCTGTACATCGACATCTGCCTGACACCCTCTTCACTCATCTTCACTCTTTGGGGAATGTGTGTGTGTGCTTCGAAAAAATGCTTCGAAAGCGGCTGGACTAAGGACCCAACCAAGTTCCGTAACCGCTCGATGCTCTCCTAAGGGCGCATCGGCACTTTGTGCTCCACATAGCAGAAGATGGGGTGGAAAGACATTGATGGATTGTTGGGGCCAATGGGGTTCCTGCAAAAGAAGTCGTACAAGGATTAGTACCCAGCGCAACCAATAAAATGAATGTCTTAAAACAAAGTTGTTCTTTGTTGAAAATTTCGATTTGACATGGCAATTGTTCAAGTTTGGCGCATCGCTGTCGTCTAGCTACAACGACCTGAGGACTGGGGAGCGTCTCTCATTATCTTGATTCGAGGATGTTCACTCAGCTCAAGCGACAGTCTCTGCAAAGGTCCCATCAATAACTGTAACACCCACCTACTGTCGAACGCATGCTGGACTAAGGAAACCCACTGAGAATCTCTTGCAACTCTAGACTTGGGAGACTTCCACGTTGAAACACGAGAGTACGACCCAAGTTTTCGATCGCTTTCCTCCACTCCTTCAGACCAAAAAATTACAAGCAACCACTATTTATATATATATATGTTGTTTTCCCGTTATATCCGCTATATGCACCGAGTACCATATATTGACATGTAAAAGTACTTTCTGAAACTTAATGACACATATTTCTGTGTGGACACCGCAGCAGTTTAAGTTCAACATCTCCAGCTACCCCGAAGTCTCGCCCAAGTCCTTCAAGTCCCCAACAACAAGGTCAACCTGTCAATCCTGAAGCGTTCACACCAAATCAATCTTGAGTGAACTGTGGCAATCGGAGCTGAAGCGTTGGCAAACACTTCCTAATTGAGCGTGGGCAGATCTCATGTTATAAGATGTTGTGAGGTGGTTGTGCAACATCACACCGCCACGTTTCCTTGTAGCTTCGCCAAGGAACCAAATCCACCAACTGCTCCAAGACTACGAAGCCCTCGAGCAAGGAAATGTCTGTGAGATGCCCAAGGTTTGTGAAGTTAGTGAGTTCTTTAGAGCAATGGCCTCCAACCTAGAAGCGACGGCCTCCAACCTTATTGCCATGGCCTCCAACCTTATTGCGATGGCCTCCAACCTTATTGCGATGGCCTCCAACCTAATAGCGATGGCCTCCAACCTATAGCGACGGCCTCCAACCTAATAGCGATGGCCTCCAACCTAATAGCGATGGCCTCCAACCTAGAAGCGATGGCCTCCAACCTAATAGCGATGGCCTCCAACCTAGAAGCGACGCCTCCAACCTAATAGCGATGGCCTCCAACCTGGAAGCGATGGCCACCAACCTGATGGCCTCCAACCTAGAAGCGACGGCCTCCAACCTTGTTGCAATGGCCTCCAACCTAATAGCGATGGCCTCCAACCTAGAAGCGACGGCTTCCAACCAATAGCGATGGCCTCCAACCTAATAGCGATGGTCTCCAACCTAGAAGCGACGGCCTCCAACCTAATAGCGATGGCCTC